AATTTCTACTTGATCCTTATGGACGCACAAGAGAGTGTCGTCCACATATCTAAAATAAAATTTGGGAACACAATTGTGATCATTTTTAAGTAAATTTAAACAATCAGTTTCCATATCATTCATCACAATATCCGCAAAAAATGGCGATATCGGTGAGCCCATTGGGGTGCCATAAATTTGTTTATAAACTTTCTCATTAAAAACAAAATAGGTATTATCAAAAAGAAATTTTGTACAATTAATAATGTCAACAAAAGGAATCTTACACTTATTATGAATAATACTATATGGAAGAAACACCGTTTTTCTTCTAAAAACATGGTCACATCTTAAACGTCAACTGGCAAAAACAACATCTAAACGACAATTTTTACTAAGATGCAGGAGTAATGGACTCATCCCTCAACATCTTCTTCATATAAGTAGTAGATCTAATTATATTTCATTTTACAGTAACTCATGTAAAAATAGTCTTTATAAATTAAATTTTTATTATTCACGTACTCTACTCAATTATGAAATTAGAGATATTCACTTTCATCTCAATTTCTTGAATAAAAGATTGCGATTCGTTGAGTGTGAAATTTCTAACTCTTCTATTGACTCAGAAATATTGAATAATTTTTTCCTCTTTTCTGATAAAAAGTTTTCATCTGTTTACTCACTCTATAATCAAAAACTTATCAAAAAATTCAATTCACTTCTTCATAATAAACATTCTTCCTGTAATAATAATTCTAAAAAACAAAATTGGCTGATCAATCTAACTGACACTGTCATTCCTCAAGAAGTTCATGATGTCATTTCACTTGGACAAAATTATAGTTGTACGGTCCAAAAAAATAAATGTATTTCCAAACAGGAGACCATAAATATTATAAAAAATGTAGAATGTACTGTTTCGAGTTTGAGTATTTGTTCTGAGGCCAAAAATGAGATTAGAGAAAAAGTGAGTAATAGTATTATGTCAAATCCTTCGGGGAAAAAAAACAATGTCACCTTTGAAGAAAAAAGTTTTGCCACTAAATTAAATTCTACCAAAAGTTTTTTGAAACAAAATCCTGATATCTTTTTTACTAATTCAGACAAAGGTAATGTTTCTGTTTGTATGAAAAAATCTGATTACATTTCTAAAGCTTATGACTTACTTTCTGATACACATACTTATAAAGAAATTTTAACAAAAGGAGTTTTGTCTAAATTACAATCAAGAACTTATAAAATTTTAAAAAATTTAAATGATAATGATTTCCTTAAAAACAAATACCATAATAATCAGTTAACTATGACTAATACTTCTTTGGCAAAATTTTATGGTTTACCAAAAATCCATAAAGACAATGCACCTCTTCGTCCTATTATTTCACTTATAAATAGTCCAACTCATTTTTTGGCAAAAATTATATACGAAGAGTTAAAAACTGTAATTCCTTTACCAAAATCTCATGTAAACAATAGCTTTGAATTAAAAGAAAAATTGAAGAATGTTACTGTACCACAGGATTTTGTTTTGCTTTCGCTTGATGTTAGTTCGCTTTTTACTAATATTCCGTGCGATTTAGTTATTCAAAGCCTTGATAGAAGATATAGTATTATTCATAATAAGTGTAAGATTCCTTTTGTTGACATTATTAATTGTACAAAATTTCTTTTTGATAATACCTATTTTGTTTTTAATGAGAAAGTTTATAAACAAATTTATGGCACCCCAATGGGCTCACCGATATCGCCATTTTTTGCGGATATTGTGATGAATGATATGGAAACTGATTGTTTAAATTTACTTAAAAATGATCACAATTGTGTTCCCAAATTTTATTTTAGATATGTGGACGACACTCTCTTGTGCGTCCATAAGGATCAAGTAGAAATTTTTATTAATTCTTTCAATTCCTTCAATATTAATTTAAAATTCACTCATGAACTGGAGGTTGATAATAAAATAAATTTCTTGGATATGACATTAATTAAGAAAAATAATCAACTCATTACTAATTGGTATCAAAAATCAATTGCTTCTAACAGATTAATAAATTATTTTTCACGTCATCCAATTCAGCAAAAGAAGAATATTGTTTATAATTTATATGATAGAGCTATTCTATTGTCTCACAAGTCTTTTCATAGTGAAAATATTAAACGAATTTTTGAAATTTTACTGAATAACGATTACCCTTTGGAATTTATTCAAAAAAATATTAAAAAACGAAAACATTCACTAATTTATAGAACAATAGATAAAAAACAATCTAATAATGTTGTTAGCATTTTTCAACAATTACCTAAAGTGTGTATTCCTTTTAATGATACATATTATCAATTATCTCATATTTTAAAAAAATATAATTTACTGTCTATTCCTATTGTGAAAAAAAGCTTAAGCTCTGTAATTAAATTGGGAAAGGACTTGACGAGAAAGTTTGATAGTACTAATATTGTGTATAAATTTAATTGTAATAACTGCCCAGCTACTTATATTGGTGAATCGAAACGTACTTTGAAAAAAAGAATTAGTGAACATAAAAATAAGAAACTCGATTCTGTGGTGAACAAACATCAAAATGAATATAATCATTCTTTCAATTTTGACGATGCAGAAATTTTAGATTACGAAACTTCTTATAAAAAACGATTAATTTCTGAGATGATTAATATTAAATGTAATAATTTCACAATTAACAAGAAGGAAGATATACAGTTTCTTAGCAATACTTATTTTCCTTTGCTTAATAAATTGAAATAATGGTTGTAATTCATAATATTTCGATTGCGGGTCATTGACCTTATTGTCTGTATATATCTCGAAAATTGTCACCGTTCAAGTCAGTTTGACTAATCACCTTCACTTAATATGTTGGTGATTTGTAGATTTAAATATTTTAATTTTTTGTTGCATTTTGTCTATTTATTTGAATGTAATTTTTTATTTTTTTGACGTTATGTGAAAATTTGTTGATTTTAATTAGGTAAAAAAAAGAAAAAGTTGTTTTTTATTTTTTTAATTTGTGATTAATATTTAAAAAATGTTTTGTAATTTATATAAACAATTTTTTATTAAAGTGACCTGATGATGGTGGCGAACCTGACCACCGAAACGTCGTCTGTTTTATATTAAAAAAGGAAAAAGTGTTATTTTCTTTTCCTTTATATTTCTTCTAAGAATCGAATAAATAATTTTCTAATTTATCAAACAATTTTTGGAAAACATTTTTTAAATTTAATTGAATTTTCAAAGATTTAAAATTGAGATTTTTGAAATTAATTGAAACTTTAAGTGATTTTTAATTAAAATTTTAGATGATTTCACTAAAAATTTATTAGAAAATGCGGACAAAATAGAATAATTTGAAAATCATTTTTAATTGAAAAATGGTTTCAGATAGTTGAATTTTCAAAGAATATTATTAAAATAGTTAAAAATAATTGAATTTCCTTAGAGTTATAATTGAAATTATTAAATTTCAAAAAAAAAAATTTCGATGGACAATTTTAGAAATAATTAAATTTTAGATGCTTTTAAATTAAAAGTATTGAAAATTCAATTAATTTTGAATTCAAATTTTCGAGAATAATTAAATTTTATTTGATTTTAAATTTGGAAAATAATTGAATTTCAGTTCATTTTGAATTGAAAATTTTGGGAAATAATTGAATTTTAATTGAAATTTTGGATAATAATTTAATTTAAGTTCATTTTTGATTGAAAATTTGGATAATTAATTATGAATAGAAATTTTAGAAAATAATTGAATTTTATTTCATTTTAAATTGAAAACTTGGTAAATAATTAATTTTTAAATTGAAAATTTTGGATAATTAGGTATTGGATTTTTAATTGATTTTGAATTAAAATTTCGGGTAATAATTGAATTTTAGTTTATTTTGAATTGAAATTTTTAAAAAATAATTCAATTTTATTGTGATATTTTTTTAAATTATAAACAATTGTTAAATTTCATAAAAATTTTAATTGAAAAATAATTTTGATATAATTGAATTTGTGATGTATTTCATTAAAATTATTAATAATAATTAATTTAGTAAAGAATCATTTTAGTTGAAAATTTGTTAAATAATTGAATTGAAGAAGATCTGAGGAAGATCTACATTTTATACGAAAAAAATGTATTTTATTTACATTTTTTTCAAATGTAAAAAAAAAATGTCGCATTTTATTAAAATAAGTCGATAAAAGTCGTATTTTTGAAAAAAGTCGTATAATCCGAGGCCTGTAAACATATATAATTTTCATTAATATCATTTAATATGTAATAATATTCTAATAAATTAAGTTATTGTTGATAATATTAATCTTTAATTTCTTTATAACAAATAATTAAATACTCAATTTGGCGTGCTTGCGCGCATTTAATTTTGCTAGTATACATATAAAATAATTGTGTCATAACCTAATTAATTTATAATTTTATAATAAAAAAAATATATCGTACTATGATAAAACGAAAATTTCTTTTTTAGAATATGGGAAAAATTATTTATCTTTAATTTACATTCTTCTTCATTAAAAAGAAAATGTTATTATAAATTTAAATTTATATAACTGCAGTTGAAATAGTAAACAACTTTTAATTAGAACAGTATAAACAAAAGATTGTTTCAGTTTTATTATTAAGTACTTTATAATTACATTATTTTTATAATATTACATTTTTTTAATTCCATTATTTTTTTTAAAAAAACGAAAAAAAAATAATAAAATTTTTTTTTAGAGGATCAGGAACATAAAATCATCCTGTATATACTGCATTATGTGGCACTGAAACATTTACAATAAAATGTCTACTATGTATTTTATAAATTTATGCATAACGAGCTCTAAATTCTGATTGATTTTCGTGAAAATTAGCTGTCGGTTGCATTTTCTCACTACATAATATCCACTTTATAAAATAAAGTGTATCACAATTTCTATATTATGTGAGAATAACAATCACCTTCGAAATTAAAAAAATTAATAATATCTATTTTATATGTTTCAGATATAAGAAATATGCACAAGTTCCTCGAAAAAGAATTCATCAAGTACTCGTTGAAAAAAAGATAATGTAATTTTTTTTCTTCTTCTTTTGATAAAATTTTTGAGTAAACAAAAAAAAATGAGTTTTAAAAAATTAACGAAATTAAGGAAACCTAAAATCCCTCCTACATTAAATATCCAGGAACCCATTGAGGACGAAGAACTGAAACTCAAGACTGATAGAAGTAAGTATAAATATTTCATTGTCAAATCTTGTCTCTTTTGTAATAAATTTAACTGACCCGACACGATCGTTGCTCCTATTTCGTATAAAATTTATTTTTACTTCAAATCAATTTCAATAACGCAGTCAGAGACATTTCAAACGTATATACTATATATAAAATATAAACGATGAAACATATTTGTCCATCGTATTTTTTGTCAGTTTTAGTCAATATTATTTGAATTAACTTGGTTTCAAAGGAAACAAATTTTTTTTTTTTATTTTCTCGTGATCCAACATCGAAAATGTGAATAGTAAATTATTTGAAAAGTCGTAACCAATTATAAAATAAGATTGATCTGAATACTTTTATAACGATTTTTTCCTGTTCTTTCGAATGGTATAAAAAGTTTTTTTTTAAAAAAAAATTCAAAGTTCAGCCCTTTTTTGAAAATTAAAAATATTTTTCACTTTTTTTCAAAATTTACAGTTTTTGAAATTTTTTATGAATTTTAAAATGTGTATTTTCAGGGAAAAAAACATTAAATTATCCTTTTTTTTGAAATATTGATCAGTTAAAAATCAATAAAAAAAGAAATATTTTTGAAAAAATAGGGGAATATACTCAGGGTTGAACACCGTTTAGACTTTGTTTATAATCTTTTTTAAAAAAATAAATTTAATCAATTGAGTTATATTGTGAAAATAAAAATTGTTTAAAAAAAAATCTAATCAGGGTTGGACATGATACTCAGGGTTGGACAATTTGTGAAAATCAAAGCGAATTATGAGTACAAAAATAAAATAACATTTATAACGTTACTGAAAACGTTTTTTAAGTTCATTTTTCCATTGTTAACGTTATTATTATTTTTTTAACACCTTTGGCAGAATATATGCTGTTTGTGTGTGTGTACGTCAATGTTTATTTGTATATTTATTTATAAATTGTCTCAAATTCATAATTAACAAAATTTTCAACCCTGAGTGTATAAAAGTGTCCAACCCTAAGTAGAAGTAACATTTTCGAATTGTGCTAACCATAACGAGACATGTTTCGCGATTCGAATTTTCACTTCATTTTTTCTTCAATCATGAACCCCACAATACATACAATAAACTTAACTTGACGATTTCTTGTTTTCTTTATTCATTTTTTATGTTTAATCACATCGCTCACAAAAACTTTTTTCGTTCCTACAAATGCATTGACGTCACAGCAGACGTTACTTTTGATCCTCCAAAAATGTAATGGAAAAAAAGGTTAGGTTTCACTACGAGAAGCTTCGACACGTCCGTGCATAGATGGCGCTTGTGTTCTTATTTTAAGAAAAGCGAAGTGTCCAACCCTGAGTATATATTCCCCTAAGGTTAGCGTAATTTTGAACTTACTAATCGAAAGCTTATGAAATTCCACACATAATAAACCAAATATGAAGTATTTTGGATTAATAGATTTTTAATAAACAATTGCAATAACAATTAATTGTTTGTAAATTATTCCAGTTTTTATTAATTTTTATTAATTAATTAATATCTCGAATATAAAAAAGCATTCGAAAAAAGAGAAAAGAAATTTTCAAAAACAGAGGTAAAAAAAATTGAAGAAAAAATATACATTATATAGGTACATATTGATTAATTATAATGAAAATATTATATCAGATAATTAAATATACATAAACATCTCTTTTAAAAACAATTATTTCTAAAAGTACATAAAGAAAAAAAGACATGTTCAAATATAGAGGGGATTAATTCAATCTATTTTGTGAAGTCGATTAAATTTGCTCTACATATTCTATCAAAGGTTGAAAAAAAGAGAAAATATAAATCCTCTGATATATAAAATACATGTAGACTACGAATGACATAGACTATACGAATTGAAATTGTCATTCAAAAGAATTTAATATATCAAATACATAATAATATATCTAATGATATTAATTCCATCTGAAAATATTTAATTTGAATCGACAAAATAAATTCTACCGAAAAATCACTTTTATTTTAAAAAATTTATTTCACTTTTTCCCTTTTAAAATAAAAAAAATATATAGTGAAAAAGAATTACTCGAGAGATTTCACTTTTTTTGTTGTTGCTATATTTAGGAGTGAAATTTCACTCGAAATTAAATTGAATATTCATTTTTTGGGAAATTTAACGAAATAAACTAGGTATAGGGGAATAGTGTCAGGGTTGGACACTTGTCAGGGTTGGACACTTGGCTTTTTTTAAATAAGAACACTAGCGCCACCTGTGTGCGTACGTGACGAATCTTCTAGTATTGTAACCTAACTTTTTGTGGCATTACATTTTTGGAGAATCAAAAGTAGCGTCTCCTGTGACTTCGGTGCAATCGAAGAGACAAAAAAAGTTTTGTTTGACTTGTGAATAAACCTAAAAAATGTGTAAAAAAAGCAAGAATTCGGCAAGGTAAGCTTATTAAATGTATTGTGAGGTACATAATTTAAGAAGAAAAAAAGTGAAAAATCGAATCGCGACACATGTCTGGTTATGGTTAGCCCAATTCGAAAATGATGCTTCTAGTTAGGGTTGGACACTTTATACAGTTAGGGTTGGACACCCATATTAATTATGAATTTGACACAATTTATAAATAAATATACAAATAAATTTTATTTTATTGATATTTCAGTGCAAAATTGTGCCAAAGATATTAGAAAAATAATACTTAAATTGTATAAATTTTGTTCATCATTTCATTGAGTTATTTGGAACAATAAAGCGTTATTTTTTATAATTTGAGTTCATTCCTTTTTTAAACCCATGAAGCTTTACAATTTGTAAACAATAAGTAAAGATAAACATGAAAAAATAAGAATAAAAGACATTACAAATGTTATTTTACGTTTTTACCAATAATACGTTTCGATTTTCAAAAAGTGTCCAACCCTGACTGAAAAGTCCAACCCTGACTAGATTTTTTTTTAAATGTTTATAACTTTTTTAATTTTGGACCAATCAATTTACGGTCCACAGCAAAAGTGTTCCTCTTTTGTAGATCTTTCCACCCATATACCACAATTGACTGAATTTATCTAAACAAAATATTTATAAACAAAAAACCAAAACTGTGTTCAACCCTGACACTATTCCCCTACTTTTAAGTTAGAAGAATTTACTTGCGACACTTTCGCTAACAAAAGTTATATTGTTGGAAGTTAATAAAATTTTTAAAAACATACTTTTAATGTTATAAAAATAGTTTAATTTTAAATCCAAACGCTTTGATCCTAGTTTAAAAATTTTTCGAAAATATTATTTGCTGATTCATTCAGATCTTCGAAAAAGTCTATTAAGGAAAGTTTTATCCCTTTTATAATAACCTATAGAAGAATTGGAAATAATTTTGAACTGCCACGATTTAATGCGTCTGTGGAAACACTAAAGTACTTATAGTTCGGCCGAATTGCAAATTTTTTAGCGTTTTCAGAATCATTATTAATAGAAATTTATTAAATTGAAAACCAAATACTTATATAATTTTTTTAATTTAAAATCTTTTGACAAAATAAATTAAAAAAAAAAATTTCTTTAAATGTATCAACAAGTATTGAATAAAGATTAATATTCTTTTACAGAATTAAAAAATGAATATCTTCTATATGAGGCTGTGATAAAAAATGAAGCGGACTCTGTTCGCAAAGTGCTCAAAGAGACTGTCGACGTAGATACCAGAAACAATGTAAGTCACAATCCTTTTTGCATATTCCATTTTTTGCGGGTCGCATGCATAATCACTCACAATTTTCTATGTTTAATTGATGAAGACCTCTTATTCAACACAAAGCTCCACAAATTCTCACAACTCTTCAATATATATTCCTAAATCCGCACTCATCATTAAAAAAAAAAAAAAAAGTTACATACAAATTTAATACCATCATCCTCTTTAACAGTATAATAAATCTATTTTTATCAAATTTGAAATTGCAAACAAACTTTTATTTTCCCATATAGAATATTTTATATACGGATTATTTTTTTAAAGTAGAAATTATCTTCTATATTCCATAAAATTGAAAAAAAATATAATTTTATTTTTAAAAAAATTAATACTTTTCATATTTGTAGCAAAAAGAAATAATAATAATTATATCCAGATAAAAATTTTAAAAAAGAAAATGATGGATATTCTCTTCTGTATATATACATACTTTTTTGTTGTTCAGCTTTAGTTCCACTGTATTGTGCAAACACAATTCATTTTCCTCGAAATTCACAGCACGTTTTATTCCCGTACTGAGAAAATCAATTAACCCGAAATATTTTTTTTTTTTTTTTATTCATTTATACAGTATGGTCGTGCCCCCATTCATTTGGCAGCATCGAAAGGAAACACAGAAATTATTGAAATGCTGATGCAGTACAAATGTGATATTGAAGTAATAGATAAGGTATGTTACATATCTTTATTTTTCAATAAATCGTTCAATTTTTTTTTTTTTTGCTTATATGCTTACGCAATTTATTTTTTATTTTAATTTTTCTTGTACTCCTTACCAAAACAGATTTTTGTGGACATTCGCCCCTACCACTATTCCTTTGAGTAGTATTATACAGAAGTTAAGTAATAAAAGTCAGTTTCAGTCAGATAAAAAGTTTTATTTAAATACTTATATAATTTTACCTTCGGTAATAAAGACGCAGTTTATGTGGTATTAGTATATGGGTATAGTTAAACTCCATTTTAGAGAAGATTTTAAATTCTCGTAAATTTAGCCTCAGTAGTAAAGAGGAAAATTATAGTCAGACAAAACTTATTTAAATAGCGCGCGTCAATTTTAGTATTTATGGTAATATGGTAAATTGAAGTTGTAGAATTTTTTTAATTTCTCAATTAACAGTAAAAGGCAGTTTTAGTAATGAATCAGAATTTTTTTTTTAATTTTTCTTATTTTAGCATCAATATTTTCTAAATTATATTTAGTGGAAATTTTCATTAATTTTTAGAAAAATGGTATGATTTGATTTAGTAATTTTTTTTTACTGAATTTTTAGTAGAAAATGACTAAAAATTAATAGAAATTTTAAATATGGTAATAAATTAGTTTTAAATTTGCTCTTAATCCTGGTATAAAAAAAAATTGTTGGTTGAAAGGGATATGTGAGGCATTTCATATGAGAATATGGGATCATGTCTCAGATTTTTCTCAAAATTCGGTAAATTGTAGTGATAGTGGTGCAAAATAAGTGAACAAATTTTGAATTTGAAATTTTTAATATTTTTCGAGATATTTACAATAACAAATTTGAGCAATATTTTTTTGCTTTACTTATAACTTTTTTTCTATTAAAAATAGAGAAAAATTTTGTAAATGTTTTTACGCGGAAGATCTTAAACTTTTAGAAAAAAATTATTTTTTTAAAAAAATATTAATTTTTAAACAATTTGTTTAAAAAATAAAATTTGTTTATAACTTCTAAACATGTTCTCCCTCATTTAGAAGCGCGTAAAAAATCATTAATATTGTTTAAGTCATAATAAATCGATGGTTAAATTTTTGAGATGGCATTATTTTTTGTTTTCGAGATATTAATTAATTAACTAACAAAAGTTAATAAAAAATGAAATTTTTTACGAACAAATAAAATTAGAGTAATTTTAAAAACACCATTAGAATGTTTATCAAAATCTGCATCCAACAAGCTTTTGTTAGTTAATTAATTAATATCTCAAAAATAAAAAATAATGCCATCTCAAAAATTTAACCATCAATTTATACCATCAATTTACTCAAACAATATTCATGATTTTTTTCGCGCTTCTAAATGAGGGAGAACATGTTTAAAAGTTATAAACAAATTTTATTTTTTTAACAAATTGTTTAAAAATTAATATTTTTCTAAAAGTTTAAGATCTTTTGCGTAAAAAACATTATTTACATTTTTCTCCATTTTTAGTAGAGAAAAAGTTATAAGTAAAGCAAAAAAATATTGCTCAAATTTGTTATTGTAAATATCTCGAAAAATATTAAAAATTTCAAATTCAAAATTTGTACACTTATTTAACACCACTATCACTACAATTTATCGAATTTTGAGAAAAATCTGAGACATGACCCCGTATTCTCATATGAAATGCCTCATGTACTTGCAGATTTATCTATCTTGATATAAGTGTAGTAGTACATGACATTTTTAGTCAGACATACTTATAACCAACGTATAAAGTAGTAAAATCCAGTTTCAGTCAGACATCACGTTTTAAATTCTTGTTAGTTTGCTTTCAGTAACAAAGACAATTTCAATCATTTAAATGATTACAATTGTTTACTAAATTTTTATGCATTTTGTAATGTAAATAAAAATTACTACTTTTTATATATTAATATTAAGAAATTAAAAATAAATAAAAATTTTTTAGAAATAGTAACAAATGTCAGATTTTCAAAATTCGAAATAAATGACCCAATGTTACGGTCAAAAATTTAAAACATTGTTGCATTTTTTATGACATTTGGTTATATTGTATTTGTTTATTTAATAATACAATATATTTTTTAAAAAAATTTCGAAATTGACTTTTTTTATTTTTTTAACATAAGAAAAGCAGATTTAGAAAAAAAAATTTTGGGTGGGGGCGGGATATTTTAATTACCCTGTACCTATATTATATTATTCTATATATTTCTATTATTTTCAAGAATAGTTGAAAACTACAAAATTAGCTCTACAATTACCTAATGTAAATGTATATAAAGATATAGATAATGTACACTAGAATTTAGACTAACTGCAATTCTATATAATATGTATGACACTAAAATCCATCTTTTTACATGTTAAATATGAATCTCCTTTGCTAAAAGCGGACTTTATGTAAAATGCATTTTTATTGGCTAAATACATCGCTTACTGAAGCAAAATGCATTTTTCATACTTGAGAGACCGTATCTTCATCTCACGCTCGAGTTCACTCTGAGCACATATATATTCCTTAATTCTTGAATTTGATTGATCACCTTTCTCGAAACAAAAAGCAAATCAGGGAAGTATTAAAATTTGTAAAAAAAAAATATTCTCTGAATGAAGAATATATTTTTGTAATATTAAATTACTATTAATATGTTTAAATTATAATTATATTATATTTTATATAATTATAATTATATTATGTTTTATAATTATATGTTACACGGAAAAAAGAAAAAAACTCGCGTCAAGACAAGTAAATAGATCGAGACTGAGACTATAGAATTTCCGAGAACGATACCCGTAATTTTAATATTTAACGAGACCGAGATGTGAAATCTTGCCTCGTGGGCAGTACTATTAAAAATAAGTATGCAATATGGTTTTTTTCATTCGTCAGTTAAAATTATGAACATGTACAGAATGGAATGCGACCACTACACATGGCTGCATGGCATGGTCATCGGGAAGCTGTGAAAATGCTGATAAATGCTGGAGCAAATATATCGGCAGTAAATAAGGTTTGTAACTTTTTTTTGTCAGAAGTTAATAACTTGAAAATATTACAAAATCTTAATTTATTGAAAATAATTTTTATGTATCTACGCGATTTTCCAAAAAAAAAAATTTTTATTTTACTATCTAGAATCAATTATAATTATTACTAACAATTTTGATATAATAAATTAAGAAAGAGCGCATATTATGTTTTTAGTTAATAATTAAATTTTGAACCATTTCTCATAACTCAACATGGATTATTCATTAAAGGAGGTTAAAAAAATGAAATTAGAATTTAAGTGGGGGGTCAGAAAAGAAATCGATAGCAGGTGAATATCTAGGAAAGTTCAACGATGTATAACTAAAGATTAACGATGTGATAAAGCTATATATGTGATGTGATAAGTTTTTAAAAAGCTTCCTGAAATATAAACGAGAGAAACAATAAAAAACATTACACAGTATTATATTTATAATTCAAAATTATCGGCTTTGGAAATCTTTAGATAAAACTATATGATAAAACAGGAAACATATATATATAATTTGAACAATTTCTTTTCTTAAAAAAATTTCAATTTTTAAACTCATTTTATTTTTATACTTTTTATAAGATTAAATTTATAAATAAAATTTTTTTTTAAAAAGATTTTTTTGTTATTTGAAGACTAAGAATTTTTTTTATATAAAATTCAAGGTCTATTTTTTTTGTTCCTTTATGTAGGTTCGTTCAACATAATAAAATTTTCAGTATACCTTTAGGTCACCCTTTCTACACATTATAACCGTCCATTCGACTTCTAAATGAAATTTTCGAATTCTAGGCCTTCATTTATATTCCAGAGGAGCCTAAACTGTTTCAAACGAATGATATCTCTCTGTTTCCCTCTGCGAACATTTGGATGGAATTGGGTCTATATATATAAATTTTTCTTTCTCACCTTTCTCCGAAAAATATAAGAATTGCAAAGATTTCCCCAAAGAAAGAAAATCCCTTTCATTCAGAAAATGGAATATTTTTAACTCTCGGTGAATATTAAGACACTTGTAAAATTTTCAAAACTTCGCATGAATAAAATTCCAATAAATTACATATAATTTTTTTTCTATAGAAATCATATGGCATATACCTTTAAAAATATTTTAATAGTTTCTTTCTCAAATAAAAAAAAACTTTGGCACATCACATATATTTAACCTATTTCGTTCGGAATGCTAAATATTTGTGCTCATCGATTTCGATGTTGACAACCTGAAAAAAAATTCATGTGGGGTAGATCTTTTAGAATCTGAAAGAAATATTAACTTTCGACTTTTAAGGAAAACAACACAGAAAAAACTGGACTCATTTTTGTTGCACCTTCCCAAGTACGAAAACTAAAACGGCTCAATATTGGCCCAGTATTGGCAAAGCTGGCACCGAGCCTTGGCAGACAATATTGGGCCGACTCTTGTGGTGTTAACTGCTGTTGGACATCGGCAGCCAAGTATCAGACGCCATTACTGGGACAATCTTGGCTGCCATTAGTGGCCCAGTATTGTCAAAGTTTAAATAAGTTTAAATAAAATTATAATTATTAATTAATTAACTAATTAATTCATTATACATTTATAATATAAGTCTTGGCAGAAAGCGCAATTGTTTAAACATTTGAAAAGTAACGCTCGCGGGAACTGAACTCGCAACCTAACGCACCGAAGTCTAACATGCCGTGTAGAAATTGAAACATGGTGCAGATCAGGACCAGATTAGGCAAAATTTGGCCCTAGTTAGGGAAATGATCAAATAAAACACCTTACCTGAACTGGGCCTGACAATACATTTTGAAATTAAGGGCCAAATAGAGTTATCAAAGGGGCCACAGATGCCATTATTTTGTTTAATTAATTCAGTTAATAACCTCTTTCCTGTCATTAACATCATTAAAAAAAGACACGTTTGCATGTATTTTCTAGCTCAGCAATTAATAAAGTGCCGTTCGTGCTAAAAATATTTGAGATTTTACAAACTAAGTGAACAAAAATTATATAAATTATTATGATGTATTGATAGTAAGTAAAACATTTTGTTTAAATTACAAAAAAATAGGTTGGCTTGACAGTATTGAAAAAACTACAATGTTTCTTCCTGCTCAACATTAACATTTTAATCATATAAAGATAATTAAATCACAAATTATAATTAATAATTGAAATTTTAGTGATTCCTTAGACTGAAAAATATAAATTTTATATAAAGAAATGTTTGTTTACTTTAATTTCTAATTGGTAAAGTTTTAAATCAGTTCTTTTATTATATATCTGGTTTATGAATAAAAATATTATAATAAAAATATTAAAATAGTAATTATTATTTATAATTTATAATTAATACAATTAACTTTTGTAATAATTTTGTTTATATAAATTATTTTTACTATTAATTATTGAAAATCGAAATAAAATACTGAACTGAACAAAATTGTTAACCCTTTCATTTTAGTTAGTAAATTTTTATTTTTTTAAACAAAATGAGATTATAGAGGATACAATATATAAACGAAAAATAGAAACACAACAGAAATGAACTTTAAAAATCTAACTTCATCCTCATCTTGCGTCCTCCTTCCCAATCTTTTGCATTGTTAAACGCAATTGCGAAGAGACCTAAAACGCTGTCTTCGCTCAAGTTGAATTTTTCCATCAGTACATCTGGAACAATTAAAAAAATTCGAAATTTTAATAAATAAATAAATATCGATTAAATTTTATATGTTTATATAATTACTTATTAGATATATTTTTTTAATGATAAGAAAATTAAAAAGTTTCAACAATTTGTAATTTAAAAAATGTTAAATACTTAAGCAATATTAATTTCAGGAATATAATGCAAATTTAAAGCTTTTTGAAATATATTATTTAAAAATTAAATAATTTTGTTTCGTTTAAAAATAACTTTTTGCAAAATTTCAAAAGGTATCATTAACCTAAAGAGAAATAATTTCAAGAAACATGTTTTAAAAAATAAATAATTTTTTGCAGTCATAGAAATGGGCCGCATAGATAATTTTGGTGTAATTTAACTTTGCAACATGATATTTAGATAAAGAAAAATTATAGAAGTTTCTAAAATTAATTGTTAGAAAATCTTAATTAAAAATATTTACTTACTTTCTTTAGTGTTTTGCATTAAATTTTTCAGTCCTTTTTACAAGTCGATATCTCCTCACTCTTTTTGTACTTTTTTCCTTTGCCATTTTATTGTAACATTTCTTTATTTTAAACATTCAGGAAAGACATTCACTGACAATCTGACATTTATTTTTATTACTTGAATGTGGTCATTAAAAAAAGAAATACCAAAGACTTCATTTATTACTTTTTTTAAAAATGATTTTTGTAGTCTAGAGCCCTATCAGGTCCCGATAATCAAAATTACCAAGTATTGGTGCCAATATTGTCCCAGTAATGTAACGGAGTTCGGCCCAATAATGGCAAATTAGAGTAACCGAGAATCGGTGCCAATTTTGGCCCAATAATGGGACGAATTGATCGACAGTACTTCGGCAGACATTACTGGGCCAATGTTGGTCTGCATTGGCAATTCGCACATGGGTTATTATGATATCTGTATCAAAATGAGTTAACAGCCAACTTCAAGTTACTCAAAATGAAACTAACATGATTCAAATCGAGTTTTTGCATAGAAAAACTCACGATTTTAAAAATTCAATATTTTAGAAAAAATTTTAAACGATTAACTTGAAATTTGTTACTTTGGAGGTTTTTGAAGTCTTTAATTACGAATTTAATATAGCACATTAAAATTAGAGTAACTAAATACGTACTCCGAAAATCTATAAAAAAAAATATTTATTCAAGATTTAAACAATATAAAATAAAAGAAACTATATATAATGTTTTATATAGAAAGAATGTACTCTTCTTATGTGTGGTGCCCGAGGTGGAAGTGCAGGTGTTGTAAACTATCTCGCCGAAGCTTTAGAGTCATTAAATGGGGACGCGACTGATTGCACAGGAGCAACTGCAATTCATCACGCGGCCAATGCTGGCCATCCTTCTACAATAACAGCCCTCTCAAATATTCCCGGAATAAAATTGGAAGCAAAGGACAAGGTTAGAGAATCAATAGTTCCTACAATATTTTACACATTTTTTTCTAAATTATTTAATTTTTTTTATCATTATTATATTTTTATTTCATAAAATACAATTTTTAATTTACTTTTTTTTTATCACACGAGGCAGTATTATAAAAAAAAACTTAATACATGTAGCTTTCAGTGATAATTTATATTTACTATATACATATTATATAGGTATATGCATCTTAAAAATTCTGATAAAACATTCCTGACTGAACTACTCTTAAAAGTATTTCTTAATTAAGACATTCCTGACATCTTGAGATTTTTACTACTTCAATAAAATCCGTCTATGCGACTTCATTTACATCTCACCTAGAACATTTTTTTTACTCATAAAAATTCTTTTCACAATTTTTTTTTTTTCTATATTTTTCACATTTTATATAGAAATTTTTATTCAATAAAATAGAAAATAAACAAATAAATCTTTTTTTGTATTACAAATTTTTTGATATATTAAAGAAAAATGTAAATTTCTTTTATAAAAAATGCTTTGTCTATATAAAACTCTACCCTGGTTAAAAATTTTGGACTGATTTCAGATTAAATCCGGAAGAATCAATCCGGATTAATTTGGAAGTTAAACAAAAACAGTCCGATAATAATTATCTGTATTAGCGATAAATAAGTCCGGACAAAAATACAAATCCGGGATCAGTCTGCAATTGACATGAAATTAATTCGCAACAATCTGAATTTAGTTCGATCAAAAAACTTAATCCAAATTTAATTCGGTCAAAAAATCATAAATGAATTCAGGAAAATCCAGAATTATAATGTACAAAATCAACATTCAGTCTGCAAAAAAATCTTAATCAGAAAGGAATTTTGAAATAATCAGAAATCTGTATGTAACGATTACGGATTTATTTGGGACAAAAATCTCTATTTTCAAATCTGGTATTAGTCCTCAACAATGGTAATTTTGTAAACATACAAATTTCATATTTTTCTGGACTCATTTTTTGGATTAGAATATTAGACTAGATTAAAGCCGAAGTGTTGCTAACTAATACCGGATTTTTCACCTAAAAATTTTGGATTATTCCGGACTCATTTCACATTAAGATTTTTGATCGATCTAAAATCGGATTGTTATCTAATTTCATAAAAGTTTTGTACTACTCTGGACTTACTCAGATTTATCTTTTTGTCCGTTACCAATTTCGGACCAACACTTATAAATTTCGTACTCTTTTCGTACAACATTCTAGATAAATTCAGTCTGCTTAAAAATCTAAATTCGAAGCAGTCCGTTTTATGGTTAGGTTTCTTTCATCCGGACTTAGTTCAGTTAAATCCGAAGAAATTAGTATTATTTGTGTAAATCCAGAAGTAATTTTGTCTAATCCGAAATTAATATGATCATATACATACTAGTGAATGCGAAATTACCATAGAGATAATATAAATAGAGTAGACAAGGTATAGGCGGCTGCGTAAGAGGGAAGTGTCCTGACATAAACAGAATGGGTTGGAAAGAGAAGAAAGATTTAACACCAGTATCTGTCCTTCAATAAGCACCAGCGCAAGAGAGACACCTACTGGTGCTAAAATCGCGTTCTCTTTCTATCAAACGGACGCCTCTATACAGACCATCTCCACTCTATTTATATTATCTCTATGGAAATTACTCCTGTTTAATCCGAAATTAATTCGGCCTGTGTAACAAGTGAATCTGGATTCTGCACACCTCTGGCGGATCTCGAAATCGGAATGTACGCTGAATTCGTTGTACATTCGTTACACATTGGTTAAACATTTAGTTGGAGTGAAAATTGTGTAGAAACTTCGGATTAGACCTGATTAATTCCGTATTCTCTAGTTACACAAACCGGTCAAATTTCGAACATAACCGTACTATAATTCCGAACTGTTTCTATTTCGTCTGCTCTCTAACGGTTTAAATGCTTAATTATTGGTCAAAAAATGCGCACGCTGATTTAAAAAACCAATTCAACCAATCACAGCATTCAGTTTTGCAAATTTTAATACACTTTTGATAAACTTTGCTATACTCACACTTGAAATTTTGAATATTTTCCTCATTTTCCCGAAATTGAAACGGTAGGTACTATATATTTAAATTTTCAAACAAAAAGTTTCTCACAAACATTTATAAATTTCATTATATAGAATGGACAAAGTGCTTTGCACTGTGCGTGCTCAGGGGGCCATTTCGAAGCCGTGGAAGTATTGATAGGACTTGGTGCTTACGTGGATGCTCAAGATAATGAGGGAAACACACCTTTGCACGTGACTACGAGAAACAGAGATACAGAGATAGCTCAACTTCTTTTAAAAGTTGGCGCAAACACTGAACTCACTGACGAGGTGAGCAATCAAAACTCAACAAACTTCGTTGTATATACAGTTTTAAACTTTCGAAATTCATTTCCTATTCTTTCAATATACGTCTCTCTTTTTCTTTCTTTCTCTTTCTCTCTTTCACTCTCTCTGTCTCTCTCTCTCTCTCTCTCTCTATATATATATATTGGAGCCGAGAAATGAGTTTAGAAAAATCTTTGAAAAATTGATACCTTCATTTCCCCTAAGTCTCACTTTTATATTTATTAGAATTCTCAAAACTTCATTTTAACAAAAAAAAAAAATCATAAGTTTTAAAAACTAATGACTTTTTTAAATTTGAGCTTCCGACTCTTAAAAGGGCTTATATGCTCGAATTTTCATCACAATTTTCGGTTCCTGGAGTTAAAATAAGAGAAGACGATGAGATTTTTTGTTTTAAATCGATCCCCTCACAACACAAGGATATTCAGGATATCCCTGGGACGTCCTGGGGATATCCATTTGCTTTTGGCGATTCGGATATCCCTAAGATATCCTCTGGATATCCATGGACATCTCTAAGATATCCCAGGGATATCCAAACCGCCGAAAACAAATCGATATCCCCAGGACGTCCCAAGGATATCCTGAATATCCTTTTGTTGTGAGGGAAGATATACTTTTCAATTTATTAAATTAAAAAAATATTTTTTTCATAATAAGTATCTAAATACGAGTAATTTAAAAAACTTTATCTTTATTGATTAAAAATTAACGCAAGTTATAATGAATTTAAAAAAAAAATGAAATTTGCAATATTTTGAAAAATATTTTGAATTTTTCAAAAATACTTCGGATTTATTATTTTAACCCTTAAAGGAACCCAAATTATCAATTCTATAAAAATTTACTAAAATATCTTAGTTTTTCTTAACCCTTTCGCAGTCTAGTAGAAAAATTGTTTGTGGGCCCAAAACGGTCCAAAAAAAAGTTTCAAAAAAAAATATCATATCATCGTATTAAAAGTTTTTGGGATCGCTGAATCGAAATTTAAGGTCAGATTTAAAAAATTCAAAATGGCCGACCCAATATGGCAGAAAAATTTAAAGTTGATTCGATTCGTTCAAAATTTGGTACACGGGGGTTTTTAGGGTCGCTGAATCCAAATTTGATGTCAGATTTGAATTTGAAACCCAAAAACCCCCGAAAACCAAATTTTGAACAAATCGAATCAATTTTAAATTTTTTCCGCCATATTGGGTCCGCCATTTTTAATTTTTTAAATCTGACCTCAAATTTTGATTCAGCGACCCCAAAAACCCTAAGGGAACCATTTTTATGCAAATCTAGTCAATTTTAAAATTTTTATGGACGCCATATTGGTTTCGCCATTTTGAATTTTTTAAATATGACCTCAAATTCGGATTCAGCTACCCCAAAAACCTTAGTATATCCATTGACACTCGAATCCAATTATGTTTAGTATTTTTTTTTTCTAATGTGGACAAATCACAAAGGTCGCACGACTTTTTTTGGACATATATGGGCCATCGACTGTTAAGGGGTTAAGATTAAAAATATAATATTAAGTAAAAATTTCTTTTATTCAAAACACTTGAAAAAAATTTTTTCCTTAAAGCAAAGAAAACTTTTTTTAATTCAAACAAATTTCATCTTTGATTCAAAAAAATGATGTTAAAAAATCTATTTCTTTGTTTCAAAGAAATATTTTTTTTTTTTTTTGGGTGTAATAAAAAAGCGATTTTTCTTGATATAGAAAAAATATTTAAAAATAATTTCGTATTCAAGAAAATTTTTCTTAGAAAAGCATTTTCAGTTTCATCTTAGCGTTCTTATAGAACAGTATCAAAAAGTCTCTCAAATATATTCTTGAAGTGAAATCTATATATAAAAATAATTTAAAAGAAGCGAAGAAAAAAATTTGTACTTTAAAACATCATTTGACTTCTATTTTTAAAAATTAATAACATTAAAATTCACTCATGAAACATTTTTTTAAAGAGAGGAGTTACTCCGCTTCATGTAGCTGCTAGCCAAGGAGTCAAGGGAATACTCGAATCGATTATTCAACACGGAGGTTTGCTCAACAAGCAGTGCAAGGTATATGTATTTTTCTTCTTTTTTTTTGCATTTTTATAAAGCTTAAAAAGAGTCATTCACGCTAAAAAAAAATACGTACCAATGAGTTTCTGTTAATGGATATTTCTTTTTTTTTTTTTTTTTTTTTGAAATTGAATAGAAATCCGCGGCGAAAATAAGCGCGCTTTTAATTAACGAATTTGCATTAATTCACAGAATGGTAATACACCACTACATTTGGCCTGCGAAAGTAATCAAGTTGATACCGTCGAAATTCTTATTAATAAAGGTGCTGATTTAAACAGTCTTAATTCGGTAAGAGTATCTCTTTTATATCATTTTGTAATTTCATTTTAATGTTTTCATTTACACATAATATACAAATTAAATTTTTCATAAAAATCATTAATTAGAATTTTTATTTTAAAATATTATTATTATAGAAACAATTATTTTTTTAGACGAATTTTTTAATTTTTGAATTAAAATTTAACAGATTTTTCTCTTATATGAATTTTTACACAACAAAATTTTTAGCTACCGAATTTTTGTTTGGCAAAAGTTTTATTTTACAGTCATTTTCATTACATGTTTTTTTATTTAAAAGAATTATCATTCAATAGAAATTTTATCTGATTCGATTTTTTAAATGACAGAAATTGCAATTCACTGAATATTAATTGTTAATTTTTAAGACAACGAATTTTCATTTGTCCGAAATTTCAATTGTCTGAACAAACAATCGACAGAAAGATTTCGTCACAAATTTTGAAAATTGACCAATCACGATTTTCTTGATAATTTTTAATTGGACAATTTTAAAAATTGCGCCGAAATCTTTCTGTCGATTATTTGTTCGGACATTTTTGTAATTTTGGACAAATGAAAATTCAGCGTCTTAAAAATTCTATAAATTAAAAAATTCGTATAAAAATGAAATTCTTTCAAATGCTGATTCGAAAAATGAAAATTTGTCTTAAAAATAATTTCTAATAAAATAGTTTTTAAAATAAAAATTCTAATTAATTTTTTTTTTTTTTGAAATTCATGCGCCTCGTTTCAATTTATCTAAATTTTAATTGATTTACGTTTCAATTATCAGGAAAATTACAAAATTTATTCTTGCAGCAACCCTGAAAAAATTTTATTTAACGCAAATAAAATTTTTATTTGAAACAAATAAATATTAAGCTTTGAGATAAATATATTTTTTCTCTAGATGTATAAAAGAAATGTGAAAAAAAATTATATAAAAAACGTTCTCTTCATTTATTTTTATTTTCTTTTTTCTCTTCGACTTCAGTAATTACTTTCTCATAAAAACAGTTTCCTTAATGTACAGGAAAATGTTATATTTCAATTTAGAAAATATTTGCTCGAAGAAATTAAAAAAAAAAAACAAAAAAACGCTGAAAAACATTTTGCAATAACACTTCAATTTGTCTTATAGAACATTGTAAATATCGATATTCCATTATTCGCACAACATTAACCAGACGCGAAATTTTATATTATACTTTTGTAAAGTCCATCATAATTTCCTATTAAAAAAAAAAAAATTTATTATACTCATCGATTTAATTCATATATGGGTTAGAATTTCTCAAACTAATCAGCCTGAAATTAACAAATTTTTAATTAATTAAATTAAATAGTTTGGTTTAATAAGTTTAGTTAGAGCAAAAAGAAAATTTTTGTTAAAGTTATCAAAAATTAAAATTTTTAGCTGTTTTAAAAATAGAAAATATGTTCTCAAGATAATTTTACAAAAAATATGCTTTCTTCGTCTTGGAATATGGTATTTAAAAATAATTTTTGTTTCAATAAATTTTTAATTTTAGACAGTTTTTGAAATTGTTTATTTATAAAATGTTAATAAAAAAACAGTGTTCCTTGTAAAATTTAAAAATTATTTTATATTTCCCATTCCAAGACGAGAAAAATCTATTTTTAATTTTTAAATTTGTCATCTGGACTTTAAAAAAAATTGTTTTATATTTAAAACAACTAAAAATTTCAATTGTTTATAACTTTAATAAAAAAAAAAATTAAAGCGAAGGTCTGTATTTATTACACGGACGGAGAATTTTTATCGTGACGTCATTTTTAATTAATTAAAATATATTTTATAAGATTATTATTTAGTATTTATTTTGTACATAAACACACACTGAAAAAAAATTTATTTTATTCAAATAATCGGTTGCTTGACTATTATCAAATAAATATTTACTTGAACCAAATAATTTTTATTTGAATTAAATAAATTGTACTTGAATCAATAATTTTTGTATTTGAAACAAATACCATTTCATTGACTCAAATAATAATTATTTGCTATAAATAAATATTTATTCGATAATGATCAAGTAACCGATTATTTGAATGAAATAAATTTTTTTTCGTGCATAAAATTAGAATAAACTGACAATAATTTCCAAACAATTAAATTTTAAAATATTCAAAACGCAATGCCACATTATTACCAATTGCTGAAATTTTGCACTGGAATAATAATAAAATATAACCTCAATGAGGGATTTACTCTCTTCAAGAATTATGGTGGACCAGTTAATTATAACAATTCTTGAACTGAATACATCCATGATTGAGGTTATGTTTTGATATTATTCCGGTGCAAAATTTCAGCAATTGGCAATACTGTGAATATACTATGTACACAGGCCAACACTACACTACGTGATCGCAGATCGCTATACATTTTTTTCCTCGAATAACGATACGAAAACAAAACAAAGTGACAGCTTCGGCAGCCATGTTTATTTTGACTATTATACATATATAGGTATAGTGCATACTGTCAGCAGTGGCGCTGTATACTAACATTTTAAATCTTTAACCGGTCGGTAACATAGAAAACTATAAAAAATTTCATTTCCAAATTTGACAAAAATAAGTTTGGCATCGAGATTAGATCGAAACTAATTGAATAACCCAAAAATCTTGAAAATATGACTTATAGTTTTCGAGTTTTGACCAGCGATATGAACGCCAATTCTTCTGACTGGCTCCCTAGATCAGTAAGACATGGTCACGTCAAAAAATTTAATATACAAAAATAATCGAATAAAAAAAAATGTAATAGAAAAAATAATTAAATAGAAATAGAAATTTAACAAAAAATTATCTTTTTTGGTCTAATATTTTCCGAAACTTATTTTAATTTCATTAAAAGTAAAGAAATCCAATAACATTGAAAAATTAATTACTTTTTGAAAATTTTATGTGATCTGTTTGAGAAATTCTGACCCATATATATACAATACTATGAGGAGGAAAGAAAAAAAAAAGAAAATGGTTAAAAACGATTTTTGCTATGCAATGCGACTTTATTTCAGAGATTACAATCTCCAATACACATAGCAGCCGAAATGGGACACATGGAAATTTGCAAACTCTTATTAAAAGCAGGTGCAAATATTCAACAACGCGAGAAGGTAAATATAAATCTTCTTCTTTTTCTATTCTTCGCGTGTACTTTGCCCCGCTCACATTTTATATTCATGCGAGTGATCAATCTTTAAACTAAAGCGAATCTAAAAAAAAAAAAATTATTCCCTATAGCAGTATTTGCATTATTTGCGTTTATGTATGTATATAGGTACTATATAGATATAGAGTTTTCTAGAAGAATAGGAATTTGTAATTTTTCAAGATATATGTGTATACGTATATCACGGTATACAAAGCCAAAATGGAACATTAATCTTCCAGCTCGATATTCGTACACCTGCTTATTGAAGATTGAAAAATATTTTTCAAAATTTTTTTCCCTTTTGTCGTGGCTTATATTTTTTTTTTTTATTGCCAACAATTTTTGAGGGAAAATGTTTTATGAATTTCAATTTTTAATATATTCTTATATCTAAGTATTTTGAAAATTTTTTAATATTCCGTTATTAAATTATTTTCATGATACATGAATATTTTGAAATTAATTTGAAATATTTTATATTCTAGAAAAAATTTTTTAATTGCGCAAAACTTCGCAAAGAATTTTCCGTTAATTTCCCTTTTTCTTTTTGCCCTTAAAAATGACATTACATTGCTCGAATGACATAAATTACCGTTACGATATAACTATACGAATTTCAATTATACCAATCAATAAATCAAAAACTGTGCGCCAGTACATGCTTCATTGATTTCTGTTAACTCCTGTGTATGAATGTTGGAATTTATCGTCTCTTCATATATATTGAACTAAATATCTTCCAGAGTGGAAAAACACCTCTTTACATCGCTGCTCGTGGTAGTTTTACAGCAATCGTTGATATGATCATCAAGACAGCAAGATTGGATTATCCAACTCCGGTAACATATTTATTTACGTATAATAAATAGAAATAAATCCAAATCTGATAGGTTTATATAGAAACGAATTAAGTTAAATTATTTATTTTTATAAAATAAGAAAAAGTACATCCAGTGATAAATTTTCAAACGGGAAATTTTCTTCAGTAATTCTATAATTTTATACCTATAAATTTGGGTACATCGAAAAAAAATATTCTTGTTTTTAGAGGAAAATTCATCTTCTAAAATCCTCTTAAATTTTATACTTGAAACAAGAATATTACTCTTTTCAGAATGACAATAATATTCTCAGAACTTAGAATAATCTTTTTAATTTTAAATAAATTTAATTAATTTAATTTTTTAATCTTTTTAATCCTCTCAAAACAAGAATATTTTTTTAATGTAAGTTTAAAAAGTGTATATCATGTGTTTTTCTATTTTTGAAATTATGTTATAACGTTCAAAATTTTCATTAACATGTTTTTCACCTGGACACAGGATGCCAACGTTGGTATCGAAAAATCATATATGAATTTCTGAAGAAAATTTTTCATTTTTATATACATATAGTTAATCTTTTTTCTTCTTCAATATAAAGTTTATTTTTATTCTAAAAATGAATAATATTCATTCAAATAATTGCCAGCGATGAAAGTTATTTTTAAAATTTCGTGACGTTGACGTCAGTGGTCGCGAGACATTAAAAGTTCTCAACCGTCTCATTTTTAAACATAAAATAATGTGAGAAAAAGTCTGCAATGAAACTCAGCTGTTGATATTTGAAATGTTTCTTCAAAAAATAGCTTTTAATCGTTTTAATTGAATTGCAGAAATATCCAAATTTAGATATTAATTTACATTTTGATAGGTTTTTATATTTGTTTTATTTTTAAATTGAATGTATTTTTTAATCAAATTTAAATTAAATATTTTTCATAATTCGCAATTCTATTTATATATTTATATAATAAAATTAATTATATTCTCTTTTTTCAATAATTCGTACAAAAATTATCCTAATTTGACCTATTTAAAATTTCATAAATATTTTTTTTTTCATTAAAATTAATAAAATTAACTTAATTAATTTTACTGTTATGACTTTGTAAAAATATTGAGAAAACAAATATAACTTTTTTGTTTTTTAAATGAAAATTAAGAAAAAATAATATTCGCTCGTATTCTTCTGAAAGTAAAAAAAAAGCAATGAATTCTCTACGATATAGGAAGATACAAATTCTGATAAAGAATTAACGCCAGCGAGAAGACGTTGGAGAGAGGATACAAGAGGAAGCATGTCCAATAATAATGGCAGCTTACCTGATCATATAAGATCCGCTCTTTGGAAATTGGCCTATAAACAATTAGATTCCGGAGATTGGAAAAAACTAGCTCTCCATTGGGCCTTCAATCACGACCAAATCGATGCAATTGAACATCAATATACAGGTGAACATAAAATTCACCATTAGCACAACTTCTCGCCTATCAATCTCTTTGAACTGCTTACAAGTTTACTCACTGGATAAGTGTTTTTTTTCTTTAAATAACAAACTGTCAATCTAAATAAACATTTATTAAAAAAAAAATATTTTAAAAAAGTAGTGATTCTCTTATATCAAATAAATAGAATATATAATAAAAAAAATATAATAAAAAAATATTATAAAATCCTTTGAAAAAAATGTCAGTTTGCTATTTAAAAACAAAAAAAACGAAGTTCAGGTGCAAACAATTTATTTTGTTTCGATTTTGTTTGAATGTTATTCGAATTTCTCGTTATGTATTTTCTTTAAAGATGCAACAGTAAATGATTATATATAAAAAAAATTTCAATTATTTAATATATTCAAAAAAATTTTTTTAAGAATAATGGTAATTTTGTTTCCTTTTATAATCCATAATTTTAATTATCTTACTTTCGCTAGTGTAAAAACATTTATAGATTAGTGATCTAAATTAGTGATAAAGATTAGTGATTTAGATTAATGATCTAGATTAATTATCTAGATTGATGATCTAGATTTATGATCTAAATTTATGATCTAGATTAATGATCCAGATTAGTGATCTAGATTTATAATCTAAATTTATGATATAGTTTAATGATCCAGATTAGTGATCTAGATTAGTGATCTAGATTAGTGATCTAGATTAATGATCTAGATTAGTGATCTAGATTTATGATCTAGATCTATGATCCAGATTAATGATCCAGAATAGTGATCTAGATTAGTGATCTAGATTAATGATCCAGATTAGTGATCTAGATTAATGATCTAGATTAGTGATCCAGATTAGTGATCTAGATTAATGATCCAGATTAATGATCCAGATTAGTGATCTAGATTAGTGATCTAGATCTATGATCTAGATTAGTGATCTAGATCTATGATCTAGATTAGTGATCTAGATTTATGATCTAGATTTATGATCTAAATTTATGATCTAAATTAATGATCTAGATTAATTATCTAGATTAAATAAACCAGATTAGTGATCTAGATTAATGATCTAGATTAATGATCTAGATTAATGATCCAGGTTAATGATCCAGATTAGTGATCTAGATTAATGATCCAGATTAATGATCCAGATTAGTGATCTAGATTAGTGATCTAGATTAATGATCTAGATTAGTCATCTAGATATATTTTCTAAATTTATGATCTAGATTAATGATCTAGATTTGTGATCTAGATTTATGATCTAGATTAATGATCCAGATTAGTGATTTAGATTAATGATCTAGATTAATTATCTAGATTGATGATCTAGATTTATGATCTAAATTTATGATCTAGATTAATGATCCAGATTAGTGATCTAGATTTATAATCTAAATTTATGATATAGTTTAATGATCCAGATTAGTGATCTAGATTAGTGATCTAGATTAGTGATCTAGATTAGTGATCTAGATTAATGATCTAGATTAGTGATCTAGATTTATGATCTAGATCTATGATCCAGATTAATGATCCAGAATAGTGATCTAGATTAATGATCTAGATTAGTGATCTAGATTAATGATCCAGATTAGTGATCTAGATTAATGATCTAGATTAGTGATCCAGATTAGTGATCCAGATTAGTGATCTAGATTAATGATCCAGATTAATGATCCAGATTAGTGATCTAGATTAGTGATCTAGATCTATGATCTAGATTAGTGATCTAGATCTATGATCTAGATTAGTGATCTAGATTAATGATCCAGATTAATGATCCAGATTAGTGATCTAGATTAGTGATCTAGATTAATGATCTAGATTAGTCATCTAGATATATTTTCTAAATTTATGATCTAGATTAATGATCTAGATTTGTGATCTAGATTTATGATCTAGATTAATGATCCAGATTAGTGATCTAGATTAGTGATCTAGATTAATGATCCAGATTAATGATCCACATTAGCGATCTAGATTAGTGATCTAGATCTATGATCTAGATTAGTGATCTAGATCTATGATCTAGATTAGTGATCCACATTAGTGATCGAGATTTATGATCTAGATTAGTGATCCAGGTTAGTGATCCAGATTAAATAAACCAGATTAGTGATCTAGATTAATGATCTAGATTAATGATCTAGATTAATGATCTAGATTAATGATCTAGATTAATGATCTAGATTAATGATCTAGATTAATGATCTAGATTAATGATCTAGATTAATGATCTAGATTAATGATCTAGATTAATGATCCAGGTTAGTGATCCAGATTAGTGATCTAGATTTATGATCGAGGGTGATCTAGATTAGTGATCTAGTTTAGTGATCTAAATTTATGATCTAGATTAATGATCTATATTAATGACCTAGATTAATTATCAAGATTAATAATCTAGATTAGTAATCTAGATTAATGATCCAGATTTATGATACTGATTAGTGATCTATATTAATGATCTATATTAATGACCTAGATTAATGATCTAGATTAGTGATCTAGATTAATGATCCAGAGTAATGATCCAGATTAGTGATCAAGATTAGTGATCTAGATTAATGATCCAGATTAATGATCCAGATTTGTGATCTAGATTAGTGATCTAGATTAATGATCCAGATTAATGATCCAGATTAGTGATCTTGATTAGTGATCTAGATCTATGATGTAGATTAGTGATCTAGATTTATGATCTAGATTAATGATTTACATTAATGATCTAGATTAGTGATCTATATTAAATAAACCAGATTAGTGATCTAGATTAATGATCTAGATTAATGATCCAGATTAGTTATCTAGATTAGTGATCTAGATTAATGATCTAAATTTATGATCTAGATTAATGATGTATTTATGATCTAGATTAGTGATCTAGATTTATGATCTAGATTAATGATCCAGATTAGTGTTCTATATTAATGATCTATATTAATGATCTACATTAATGATCTAGATTAGTGATCTAGATTTATTTTATAAATTAATGATCCAGATTAGTGATCTAGATTAATGATCTAGATTTATGATCTAGATTAATGATCCAGATTAGTGATCTAGATTAGTGATCTAGATTAATGATCCAGATTAGTGATCTAGATTAGTGATCTAGATTAGTGATCTAGATTAGTGATCTAGATCTATGATCTAGATTAATGATTTACATTAATGATCTAGATTAGTGATCTAGATTAAATAAACCATATTAGTGATCTACATTAATGATCTAGATTAATGATATAGATTAATGATCCAGGTTAGTGATCCAGATTAGTGATCTAGATTAATGATCCACATTAGTGATCTAGATTTATGATCTAGATTAGTGATCTATATTTATGATCTAGGGTGATCTAGATTAGTGATCTAGTTTAGTGATCTAAATTTATGATCTAGATTAATGATCTATATTAATGACCTAGATTAATGAACTAGATTAATGATCTAGATTAGTAATCTAGATTAATGATCCAGATTTATGATCCTGATTAGTGATCTATATTAATGATCTATATTAATGACCTAGATTAATATCTAGATTAATGATCTAGATTAGTGATCTAGATTAATGATCCAGATTAATGATCCAGATTAGTGATCTAGATTAGTGATCTAGATCTATGATCTAGATTAGTGATCTAGATTTATGATCTAGATTTATGATCTAAATTAATGATCTAGATTAAATAAACCAGATTAGTGATCTAGATTAATGATCTAGATTAATGATCTAGATTAATGATCTAGATTAATGATCTAGATTAATGATCTAGATTAATGATCTAGATTAATGATCCAGGTTAATGATCCAGATTAGTGATCTAGATTTATGATCTAGATTAGTGATCTTTATTAATGATCTATATTAATGACCTAGATTAATGATCTAGATGAATGATCTAGATTAGTGATCCAGATTAATGATCCAGATTAGTGATCTAGATTAGTGATCTAGATTAATGATCTAGATTAGTCATCTAGATTTATTTTCTAAATTTATGATCTAGATTAATGATCCAGATTAGTGATCTAGATTAATGATCTAGATTTATGATCTAGATTAATGATCCAGATTAGTGATCTAGATTAGTGATCTATATTAATGATCCAGATTAATGATCCACATTAGCGATCTAGATTAGTGATCTAGATCTATGATCTAGATTAGTGATCTAGATCTATGATCTAGATTAGTGATCTAGATTTATGATCTAGATTAATGATTTACATAAATGATCTAGATTAGTGATCTAGATTAGTGATCTAGATCTATGATCTAGATTAGTGATCTAGATTTATGATCTAGATTAATGATTTACATTAATGATCTAGATTAGTGATCTAGATTAAATAAACCATATTAGTGATCTACATTAATGATCTAGATTAATGATATAGATTAATGATCCAGGTTAGTGATCCAGATTAGTGATCTAGATTAATGATCCACATTAGTGATCTAGATCTATGATCTAGATTAGTGATCTAGATCTATGATCTAGATTAGTGATCTAGATCTATGATCTAGATTAGTGATCTAGATTTATGATCTAGATTAATGATTTACATAAATGATCTAGATTAGTGATCTAGATTAGTGATCTAGATCTATGATCTAGATTAGTGATCTAGATTTATGATCTAGATTAATGATTTACATTAATGATCTAGATTAGTGATCTAGATTAAATAAACCATATTAGTGATCTACATTAATGATCTAGATTAATGATATAGATTAATGATCCAGGTTAGTGATCCAGATTAGTGATCCAGATTAATGATCCAGATTAGTGATCTAGATTAGTGATCTAGATCTATGATCTAGATTAGTGATCTAGATTTATGATCTAGATTAATGATTTACATTAATGATCTAGATTAGTGATCTAGATTAATGATCCAGATTTATGATCCTGATTAGTGATTTATATTAATGATCCAGATTAATGATCCAGATTAGTGATCTAGATTAATGATCTAAATTTATGA